GACGTTTTTCTTTTTCTGCATCGTGCCGCAAACTCACCTTCCTCTCAGGAGTCGGGATGATCGATTGGTCACTGGTGTTGGATGGGAGGGGTAGGGGTACGGTGGTGCGTGTGCATCTGTCACTCTGAGTCATCCCAGCCTGCCCACATGGGATTCACACGCATAAACACACACACACACACACTGCTCGATGCAGCCACTCGCCTACTCAAACTTCATAGCATCAGAGCCCTCTCCGCAGGGCTGCTGAGCGAGAGTGTAATTTATCACTGTGCTTAAAGTTGTCTCTGTTTTGCGTGAGATTCTGGCCATATTTTCACCATGTAAAGCTGGGGCCCACACTGCAGAAAGCTGCATACTTACAGTAACTGTGTTTGACTCTGCAGTAAGTTGAGGCATAAATAACACTTTTTATTCTTTTTCTTTTTTATTCAGTATCTTGATATTTATGCATTTACTTTGAAATGCTTTTTCACCATCATTTGTTACAAATTACATGGAAAATATTTAATGAAATCAGTAAAACTTTTAAATTAGTCATTGTTTCTACACAGTTTTTCAGTAAATATTTCAGTTCTTTAAAAATATGCACCAATCAGATCCAGAATTAACATTTTTTAAAATAACATTTTATATGAATTTTTATGACAGTTCAATGGTGAGTAATTAGAGAAAATCTATACCATTTACATTAATATTGTTCTGTATAAAGTTCAGTATAAAGAATCTCATTGAATTAAATGTGAAATATTTAAGTAGAAAAATTAAAAATGATTTTATTCTAAAAGATTTATTCTCCAATAATCGTTGAAAAATTATTTTTACATTGTACTTCACTACATTGTACTAAATCAGTTTTGAATTGATTCATTGAAACAGACAGTTTGAACTGATTTACGCAAATGAATCAAACTTACCCTAATATTGTTTTTTTCCACTGACATTTAAATCAAAGACGTTATTAAAATGTCTCATAAAAAATGTGATATTTGATGTATATCACCCTGCCCTACCGTTCTTTTTTTTCTTTTTCTAACATTCTCTCATATGCCCTCTCTGCAACTGCGGTACGGACTGCCGGTCCTCACCCATATCCACTCAGCTCATTGTTCAGCTGGTAGCCGATTCATCACTTCTAAATAAAATAAGGAAGGGGAGAGAAAAGCGCATACGCCAGCACCAGAATGCAATCTGTCATCCTCCAGCATCTCTCCTCTCACTCCTTCAGCTCTGCTAAGCTCCTCTTTTCAGCTGGAGCCTTTAAATTCAGCCTCACTCCTTTGAAGTGTGTTGCTAAAGGCCGAGCGTTTCCATACGGTGCTGTTTGAGAGCCCTTTGGTCTTTCTTAGAGGCTGTGAGTATGAGCTCGGTTCAGGCCCATTTAATAGTGGATTGGAAAGAAACAGGGTCTGTGCTTAATCTGTTTAAGCCTAGTCTCATCTTCCTGCGCTAGGCACACAATTTACATCATCACTTATGTGCCTTTTCCAGCCTTTCCTGCGTGTATCCTAGTGATTTAGTGCCCTTGAATTTGACCTCTTGATCTTTATCATCCTCATCTTCACCTCGCACCCCTGCCAAAAATAGGATCAGAACAGAGAATAAGATCAGGACATGTTGCAAGCCAGACTCGAACTAGAGCAGACACCAACCGACAAGTTGTAAGTTTTACCACTGCTTGATAAATTTGAAGTCAGTTTGAAGGAAACTTTCTCACTCAGTCTATTCCAAAGATAATTAAATAATTGAATTTAATTAGCATTTATTTGCTTAAAAAAGATTGCTAATTTGCATTATATTCCCTATATTTTAGTCAAGTGATTTGTATAGTGCTTTTCAGAAGGCATAAATTGTTTCAAAGCAGCTTTACGGGAAGTTATTTTGTATCAAATTCATGCTGTAAAGTCAAATTTTTATTTATTTTAAAAAGATAGCTAATTTACCTTTTATTCTCTCTATTTTTAGTCAAGTTAGGTCATTTGTACAGCACTTTTGAGAATACATATTGTTTCAAAGACTCTTGACAGGAAGTTATATTGTATCAAAGCCATACTATAGTCCCTACTGAACAGTTTGAATATCATGCCACTGTGCGTTTGCTTTTATGTCAATATATTAGACAAAATATGAAACTCAGATCAGTTTTCAAGAGCATTATGCTATGCACATACAGTTAGACTAACCACAGATTGATTGATTGGTTATTAATTTATAATGTTTTAGCGCCCATGTTTTAGGAATGTTTTGTTACTTTGAGAGTTGCTGGAATTAATTTTGTTGTTTTTTATACGATAACAATAGGGTGACTTGTCTACTACAGCATGTAACATTTTGTTTGGCTATTTATTTTCAAGATACAAAGTGAGAGAGTTGAAATTGAAGTTGAAGCAAGGGCAGGCAGGTCGGAACATATGAGTGCAGATCTCTTTGAGGATGTACTGAGAGGAAACCAGGCCAGGCTTAAGAGCTGCAGAGACTAGCAGCAAATCTGCCCTGAGACTGAACTGACAATCACATAGTGCTGCCACAGGGCTTTTGGGAACAGAGAAGAGAGCTGAGACTCCAGAGCTTTGCTTTGTTTGTGTGTGTATGTTTAAAAATGTTTATATATGTGTGTGACCCTGTGTGTTAGTGTTTGAGTGGAAATGAGAAAGCCATTTGAAGCTTGTTAAGGATTGGGGTGTAATGTTTTATGTAGTCCATTTTGAGGGCATAATCTGTCTATGAGCTGACTCTAGGTAAAGACCCGAAGGACCATTTCATAACGCTAAGAGACATAAAGTGGGTGCTTGAAAAGATTGGAAATGTTAGAAGGAGAGGGAGATAAAGAAGAAAAAAAGCATTATATAATCCCCTTCCACATATTTAGCCCAATCAAAGGGGCTTTAGTGTTCTTTGTTCCTCGGACCTAATGCAGATGCTTTGTGTATTAGTTATGAAACACATCTATTTATTTTCCGCTAATCTCAGGGGAATCCTGCACTTAGCGATTTGTTTGTGATTATTTCCGTTTGTTTGTCTCTGCCTTTTTTCAGAGGAGAGTAGCTGCAGGTTAGAGCCACACACACAGGTTTATGCGATGGCTCGCTGCAGCACAGGGGGCAGCAAATGTGTTGCTGCGTGAGAAATCACAGCAGGTTGCTATAGATTTCTGTCATTACACACCCTGCGTCCAAATATGCAAAAAGGAATATGTCAAATAGGACATTAGAATGCTCAGAATTCATGATATAGTAGGTGAACACTGCATCTGTGAGATATTATAGAATTCCTATTAAATGTTATGTTTGATACTCTAACTAGGACCATATGTGCTTTGACAATGATTAAAGATGCTTGAGGATTTACCGTACTGTGTCAGTGTATATCAGTTGCAGTAATGTATGGAGAAACTGATATATGATCACAAACCCTACAGAAAATCACAAAGCACAGCTTCCCAAGCTGAGTGTGGCATTCCTGCATTGTTAGCAGATAGAACTGATTTCCACACAGTGAGATTTTGCAGCTTTTCTGCACTGTTGTCTTTTTTTGTTGCTTTGCTGAAGAACAATGCTGATCTGTTATGTGTGTGGTCTGCGTGTGTGTATAAGCCTGGTTTTGGATGATGATGATGATGTTATGGGTTTGTTTTCGGGCCCAGTTGGCAATGGTGGAAGCATTAGGAACGGATAAAGCTTTGATCATCGGTGAGGTGTGTCTGTGTGTTCGGGTCCAGATGCTTGCTTGCGGGCAAAGGTGCAGTCTCGCTGTTTGTTCCACTTTAGTTCTGCAGTTTCTCTACATCTCGCTCTATATGATGAGTGCGAGTCATGCCCGGGGCAAGTGAACTCCAAACAACTCTGATCCGCAGCGTGTACTGCATGTTCGGTCTCGGTAATTCATAGCTTCATATCTCTGCAGCAATCTCCCCCTCTGCGCTCCACACACGCTCTTATTCTTACGCACTTCTCCATATCTCTCTCTCTCGCTCTATCTTCCCCCCTCCCTTTCCTTCTCTCCATCTCTCTTCCTCATGTGCGATCGCACCTCTCTCTTCCAAACAGTTTGTGTCCTCACATCTCAGTTTCTTGCTGTCTTCCGCTCCATCCTTCCTCCTCTCCGTCTTCCCCGTTACCTCTCGTTCTACCGGGAGCCGGCGGTCTGAAACTCTGCCGGAGCCGGGACGGCTGGTCTGCCGAAAGGATTAAGCAGAGTGGACAGCTGGCAGATGATCAGAGTGAGAGCGGCAGCCAGGACTGGCTCGTATTTATTTAGAGGATTGGAAGATTGTGCAGATATTGGCCGAGCGCTGCGGAACGGGGCCAGGAAGCCTCTGGGCTGTTTTGTGTAATGTGAAAACCTGCCCTGGGGGTGAGTGAGAGGCGAAGTTTGTCATCTTTTCGATGTTAAATTACTTAAGCTTCCCAGCTTCCTGTGCAGAGTCAACTAAGAAAATAATTTCCCCCCAAAAAGTGGAGACTTTGTCTATGTGGTGTGTTCAGTGTTGTTTTGTTTGCATGGGTGTCCTGAAAAGCCAGACTAATGGAGTTTGGGATGGAATGGGACCTTCTTGTTAGTTCTGAACAATGGAAACGTGTAAAACCTGTCATTTTTGTGTTGCCGTTGCATGACTCTTCAGTATTGCACTTGCAGTTTTGTAATATTTTTTTTTTTTGCTAGTTCTGCTGGGTAGTATTTGTCCATTCAGCTTTGGTGATGGTCTAGCAGGTGGACCACCATGAGGTTCACCACCAAAAAATAGTGGTCAGTCACCATGTTCTTTCGGGTGAAGCTAGAAAGCCAATGACGTCTTACTGGTGAAGCTAGTTAAAAAGTTTGCATCTCAACATGGGTAACATCATCCAAAACACAACATGCTGGTATTTTCAACAGGAATGGCAGTGGTTTCTCTGGAAAATTTGGGCTGTTTATGAGATTTTTCTGTTAATGGGCACTTAACAGTTGAATTTCACCTGCGTTCACCAGTTGACTTTACCCCTCTGCTCTCTTGACCACAGGTCCTTTGGCATCTCGACATCTTCCGCCGAAGCTTCCGGCAACTGAACACCCACAAGTGCATGGAGGACTCGTGCATCTTCTGCGCTCTGAAGGTGAGTGTTACCAGGTGCTTTCTAAAAATGGCCCAGTTGTGCATGCCAGTTCAAGAGGTGCTACCTTCTCAGAAAAGTAGCTTGAGGCTAAAGGAATCTCCTAGTGTGCCCAGGCTGCTCTTCTAATGATCCAGCAAGGTGAGGGTAGAGGCTGCTTAGACTAATTGACGTCCTCGCTGACCTTACTGGAGCACAGGAACAGAATGAAAATTAGATTTTCAACATCAAAATCTCTCTGTTGCTCTTTTTCGAGGAAGTCTTTTTAATTTCCTGCCTGGAGGCTGATAGAGATGGGAGAGGGAGGAGAGGGAGATATATGCTAGGAAAAGCAACTCGGTCTCTTTTTAAATAACAAGCAAAGGGCTCTCACTCAAACAATATTCTGTTCTCTAGTCGCCCTCAGGCTAAAAGTAGCTGTGCTATTTAAAGGTGTCACATACCAGTAAGAAGTAACAAAACTGACATATTTCTTTAAGAGGCTCCTTGTTTTGTGTTAAAAGAAATCTTTGCCGTCAGATTTGTACTTGGCCATTTGTTTCCAAAAATACCAACGCTTCTTGTTGGCTGTTTTCACCTGAGAGAAAAGGAGAGGTACAAATAGCCTGATAGACTGAGAGGTCTTTTTCTTTCTCTACTTTGTGTCTGGTCTAATCTTGTTCTGGTGTTGGGTGATTTACCTCTTTATTTTATGTCCAGGCGTCTTGCTCTCTCTGAACTGAACGCTTGGTTCTTCTGCTGATGAATAGGTCCTGCACCTTCCGCTGTTTCCACAGCTACCTGTTACCTTGGCTACTCTGTGCTCTGATTGCCCATTTTCACGCCCATGTGACGCCATAAAGGCAGTCTGTGCCTCTTGGTGTTGGTTTCCTTGGAGTTGGTCATCTTTAGTCGTGAGATTCTGCATTGGTGGCCTGTTGGCTCTGTGGAATTGAGTCAAATTTAGATTAATTCATGCTGCTTCCTCTATGAGGATTGAGGAACTGTATGGTCCTGAGTCTTTAATGTTTATGTCTTTGGGTCTGGTTAATGGATGGATGGATAAATAAGAAAGTAGGTATTTAAGTAGGTAGATGATAAAAAGAGAGATAGGAGTCCTGATGACCTTGTCTGGGTTTGTTTTGCAGTTTTAAAGATGACCAACCAGAAGAAGTATCTCAGTGACCTGTTTAATTAGATAGATAGATAGATAGGTGGATAGACGCATGGATGAATGGATGGATATATATAATCTCATTGCTGTGTGTTCTTGTCCAGTTTTCTCTGGGCTACTTTGTTGATGTGAAACACAAATAAGCTTGTGTGAAATCCATCACAGTGATTGAAATGTTCTCTCTCTCTCTCTCTAAATTAAGTGTGTGTGAAGTGCTGAGGCATCAGAAAGCACACTGCTGTGGTGACACAAAGCCGTATCATGGGAATGCTTTCACATATTTGCCAGGATTTATGAGTGTTCACCAGGAACTGTCATTCCTGTCCTTCTCCTGCTCTTCCATTCTTTCGTCACTCACACTCTCGCAGTTTCTCTCTCGCTCTTGTTTTCTCACTGTATTAAACCTGTTGTTAAATTTAGCTCCATTCCTATTCACTGTTAAACCATTCGGGACTAAAAGCAAATTATATATCAGGTAATGTATTCAGAACAAAACAGAAAGAGACCTTTAATTTTAATCATGTCCAAACAAACAAGCTTTAAGCCTCCATTATGTTTCGAAAAGGAAAAAGGAATGACTGTGGTTCTCAAAAGAATTTGTCTCGCAGTACCTGAAATGACAAATGTTGTTGAGTTGACTGCATAATTTTTCAGCACGGCATTGGTCTTTCCTCTTACAAACATGATGGCATGCTTCTGTTCAGGCCTTGTGATGAAGCTTTGCTCTGTGGTAAAGCTCAATGCCTGACTCTGAGGTGGATTCCTGTCGCTCAGGTCTTTCCCTGAGCTCTTTTCCTGCCAAACCCTCTGCACACCGGTGCATGTGATCTCATGTGGCTCTGGCTGTCCCCCGCTATAGCCTTGACTGGCATGCATTACGTCACCTTTCTCATTTCTAATGGAGAAACGTTAGTTTCGGCCCATCGGTTCTGAGAGTTCCTCACGCGTGCCGCCCGCCAGCCGCCTGCTTGCCAGCCATGTTATTGAAATTTAATGATCTAACGCTACTAATGAGTGCTGAAATATGCCCTCGCCACACCATTCCTTTCTGGATACCGCTGAATTCTTCAAATGTGTTTATTTGAAAGCGTTCTCACTGTGGGGAATACATGTTCGTTTACTGAGATGAAAATTAGCTGAGGGGTACGAAGATGAAAAAAAATCATTGATTGTTTGCAGAAGTATGCATAAGTAACACTTGGCCAATATTATTTACTGATTGCCTTCTTTGATTTCATTGCGTTTTCAACCTAACAACTACTTCAGTTGTATTAATTATTGGTATTTTATCTTTTTCTGAGTGACATTTTGATATATACTACTGTTCAAAGGTTTGGGGTTGGTTAGTTTTTTATGTTTTTGAAAGCAGTCTCTGTATCTATTTGATGTAAATATACTTTTTTTCTATGTTTCTATTTGAATATATGTTAAAATGTCACTTATTCACGTGATGGCAAAGCTAGGACACATAATCCTTCAGAAATCATTCTAATATGCTGATTTGATGCTCAAGAAAATTTCTTATTATTAGCAATGTTGAAATAGTTGTGCTGCTTAATGTTTCTTTGGAAACTGATACATTATTTGATGAATAGGAAGTTCAAAAGAACAGAATTTATTTTAAATCATTTGTAACTTAAAAAAATGTATTTTCTCTCACATTTAATAAATTTAATGTGTCCTTGCTGAATAACATAAACTTAAATCTCATTTCAGTTGCTATAGGATTTACTCTCCAAATGATTTTTGTACATATTTTAAATCATAATGTTGTTGTTTATATTGCAGTTAACACTTTCTAACCATTTTCTAAAAAAAAATCTATAATATATTTATTTATTAATTTCTTGTTTGATTTAACAGTAAAATATTATGTGAAATGATTTGTGCATTACCCAGTAACAGTAATAAATTAAGACAATATTATTTAATCAATGAATTATTATTATTTAAAAACAAAGTGATGGCCGTATTATGAATTTAAAACTCATTTAGTGCACATTTAGGGGCCTAAAAAGAGACTCAAAAGAACAGAATTTATTTTAAATCATTTGTAACTTAAAAAAATGTATTTTCTCTCACATTTAATAAATTTAATGTGTCCTTGCTGAATAACATAAACTTAAATCTCATTTCAGTTGCTATAGGATTTACTCTCCAAATGATTTTTGTACATATTTTAAATCATAATGTTGTTGTTTATATTGCAGTTAACACTTTCTAACCATTTTCTAAAAAAAAATCTATAATATATTTATTTATTAATTTCTTGTTTGATTTAACAGTAAAATATTATGTGAAATGATTTGTGCATTACCCAGTAACAGTTATAAATTAAGACAATATTATTTAATCAATGAATTATTATTATTTAAAAACAAAGTGATGGCCGTATTATGAATTTAAAACTCATTTAGTGCACATTTAGGGGCCTAAAAAGAGAATATGAATCGACAGACAAACTCACTGTGGTTTATATAGTTGAATGCAGTGTTCCTGTGCTAGCTAAATAATTTGAATGGACTGACCATATTTTTAAGCCTACAATGTTTGTCAACAGAGATGCTGCATGTCACAGAGGCCAAAAGTGTGACATTGGGTGGCAAGGGCCCACATTACTGCCACTTCACGAGGTGTGATAGTGCCTTGAGGTTGGTGACCTCTACCGACTATCGGGAACTGCAGTGCTGGAGGCAACAAATACACACACACACATTCACACAAACAAAATAAATGCAAAGTCACAGTCACTCACACAAGCCGCCACCTCTATTACGATGATGTTTCCTATTATAGAAGCTCCAGTGACACCTCTATGTTTGTGCCGTTTTATGTAGTGAGAGCCAGCGATTGAGTTAAACCCAATTACAAACTCATAATCAGCATGAGATTCAATCCCTCTGCAATTTGAAAACTGAGCCTGGGGAGTGTTTAATATTAATATATTTATGTGCGTCACAAGATTGCTGCTTCTGTGAGGGTGTGTGTGCATGTGTGTACTCATTGCCCTTGTGAGTTTTGAGCAGTGCAGATGATATGTGTCACTGCTGAGGACTGTGTCTTGTGTCTTTGAGTGGAGGTTAATGTTTTATTTCACAGGCTACGCCTCAGGGCTCACAGTTGACAACACAATCTCTGGTGGTTTGTGTGTGTATGTATATGTATATATATGCATATGACTGGACTTGCATGTTTTGAGTATAGCCAGACCGGTTGGGTTCCATGTCCTTGTTTGAGCTGAGAAGGACTTTACATCACTGCCACACTGCTATTACACACATGGACCACTCAACCCTCAAATGTGATTCCCAGTTCTACACGCTCTGTAATATAATACAGTATAAAGGCTCAAGGCGGTTTGTGGCTGAACCTGGGGAAGTTTAGCTATATGAATGTCCTTATTGGGAAGGTCAGAGTGGTTTATATGTGTCAGTTTTAGTTAGCTAGCTTTTTGGCCATAAAAAAACATCCATTGTGTCCCAAATCAAATACTTCTCTACAGTATTTAGTATACAAAAAATGGTACACTAAAAGAGTATGACCATATCAACATGGCGGATATAGTACATCCTAACTTTTTCAATGGTTTCCAAGTAAGTTCAATATTCAAATGTAGTACCCACTTAGACGTGATTTCGGACATGCCAACAGACTTTGTAGTGAAGCTGGTTGACTGGGGTAATTTTGCTTGTTAAGCTGGGCTGGGAGTAAACTAATCACTGGATTTGTGAAGATTTTTCAGTTCAGTTGCATCATGTCTTTCAAAGAAACTCAGGAGTTTTGTTTGAGGCAAGTATCAGGTTAACTAGAGCATGAGACACTTTGTTTTTGATTTATTTTTGTAAAATAT